TTATTTTAATTAATGTAATCCCTTTCCTCAGTTTGTCCTCATGTTTGTAGCATTCATTTACATGTATATTATCTTATTTTCACATTGTTTATAGAAGCCATTACTTAGTTAACTAAATTTGTTGTATCAAAACCTTATTTTAAGTGATTTTTTTAAAGAATTGGTGTAAAAATTGAATGTTACCTTTTGTAAAACCTTTTTTCAAATGGATCACAATAAAAGTCTGAAACCTTCCAGTAACAGGTTTTGTGTGTTGAGGGCAGCATCGAGAAGTATTTTTCTCTTTTAAAAAAAAAAAGTTGGGGGATGTGAGATGACAGGAAGCAGAGAGCGAAGAGGGAACTGACACGCAACATCCCCAGCTGGAATCGAACTGGGCTGGTACTTTACCACATTTATTGGGTTAGTGGTAATTTGAATTGATTTTATGACAAACTGTCAATGTTGAGGTCGGTTTGGTAAAGTTAGAGCCTTCAAACTTTTAAGCTGTTTATTTAAACCTTGTGTCCATTTACTTTAAGAATACCGCTTGAACAATATATACATTCATTTTTAATTAATTAACCTTTTAGCTATTTCCTGTCACCTGTTACTCTTCGCTAAATATTTCAACCAGTTATACATTACTTTTTTCTATTTCAACTTATTATCCAGTTCTGTTAGCTAATTATTTAAATGTTTTTGATTACTTTGAGCTAACCATTGCAACCGTTCATCCATTCCTTTGAGCGTTTTCAACTTATCTGCTTTATTTCTAACTAGTTTTTGCACATTTTCAACTGTAACGTGTTATTAGATAGGACAGCTGCAGATAAACAGTAGAGGGCAGTTATAGAGGGGATAACACACAGCAAGGCATGGTGGTACATGGGGAGCCAGCTCTACCAGGTGAGCTATCAGGAGTACTTCAGCCTGGTCTGTAAGCAGCAGAGCACATGCACACATTAAGCTAAGCTAATACCTGGAAACAGATGAAACAGTGACAATACACTGGGACCACTTCTTTATTGGGGATTTTTATTTAACAAAAATATCTGACAGCCAAAACAGGACGATAATGACAAATCTATGGATGTAACCGAGAAACTTTAAGCTCAGAAATGTTTCAGCTCAACTTGGCTGATCTTCCCTTACAGTAGCGCAAACTCTCCGCTCTCTTCTGATACGTACTTCATGCTGCAACCAGCACACGCCTCGGGCATCTTTCCCTGAGAGTCACAGTGACATTAATATTCCACAAGAAACTGGGGATTCACTAAAGCCTGCTGACTTTGTTCTTAATTTTCATGTCGAGTGCCAGATGAGTGTAAACATTAACAGCGTACATTCCTCTTAAAGAGATCTTAAGGTTGGGCACTAAACATCCCCTATAGCTATATCTCATTGTTGACCAAGTGAATCCACCACCGTACAAAATAATGTATACTGTACATGTGACCTTAATTTACCAGATTCATTTGGCATTTTCTGAATATCTCAAGTAGGGCTGAGCAAGAACCAGATGTTTTACTAAATATTGCTGCCAAACTCATAATTTACTTATTTAAGTTTTTTTCCCCACATGTTCAAAGAATGAAATCTGATGTAATGAATAACTGCACTAAATGTCAGATTATTATGATTTTGCATTAATTCACCGTATCTATTAAAAAAATGTCCTGATATTGACTTCAAACATATTTCCCAACCCGTATCTTACAGTCTGAAAATGTAAAAATGATCCATGATTTTCGGGACCTTCATATTAACTCTACCTGTACCAATTCAGAGAAAGGCCTGAAAGCCTTAAAATCATAATCATTCTAATATTTTTTTATTCCAGTGTGTGAGAAGAAATCCACACTAAATGTTTGGTTAGTTAAAGATCAAAACCAGGCAGTGAGACAGTCCTCCTCCCTTTGTGCTTCAACCACAGCCCGAACCAGAATCCCAATCAGTGCAAAGTTACAGACCGACATCTAATACAGGGGGGAAAGAAAAGTATACCAAAAAAAAAATAGAATTTATATTCATGATTCGCTTCACAAAATACATTCTCACCACTTGCACACACGTGTACAGTAAAACCTCCCCCTTCACACGTTATAAAAAGAACAAAGACAAAACAGTTTCAACCATTTAGCACTGGTGTTTGTGGTCAGTCTCTCAGCAGTCCCCCCCCCCCCCCCCCC